GTTCTCTCTCTGTCCCGCTGTTCTCTCTGTCTCTCTGTCCCACAGCTCTCTCTGCTCTCTCTGTCTCTCTGTCCCACAGCTCTCTCTGCTCTCTCTCTCTGTTCTGCTGCTCTCTCTGTTCTCTCTGTCCTGCTGCTCTCTCTGTCTATCTGTCCCACAGCTCTCTCTGCTCTGTCTCTCTGTCCCGCTGCTCTCTCTGTTCTCTGTCTCTCTGTCCCACAGCTCTCTCTGCTCTCTTTCTCTCTGTCCCACTGCTCTCTCTGCTCTCTGTCTCTCTGTCCCACAGCTCTCTCTGCTCTCTGTCTCTCTGTCCCACTGCTCTCTCTGTCCAACAGCTCTCTCTGCTCTCTCTGTCTCTCTGTCCCGCTGCTCTCTCTGCTCTCTCTGTCTCTCTGTCCCACAGCTCTCTCTGCTCTCTCTCTCTGTCCTGCTGCTCTCTCTGTCTCTCTGTCCTGCTGCTCTCTCTGTCTATCTGTCCCACAGCTCTCTCTGCTCTGTCTCTCTGTCCCGCTGCTCTCTCTGTTCTCTGTCTCTCTGTCCCACAGCTCTCTCTGCTCTCTTTCTCTCTGTCCCACTGCTCTCTCTGCTCTCTGTCTCTCTGTCCCACAGCTCTCTCTGCTCTCTGTCTCTCTGTCCCACTGCTCTCTCTGTCCAACAGCTCTCTCTGCTCTCTCTGTCTCTCTGTCCCGCTGCTCTCTCTGCTCTCTCTGTCTCTCTGTCCCACTGTTCTCTCTGCTCTCTCTGTCTCTCTGTCCCACTGTTCTCTCTGCTCTCTGTCTCTCTGTCCCACAGCTCTCTCTGCTCTCTGTCTCTCTGTCCCACTGCTCTCTCTGTCCCACAGCTCTCTCTTCTCTCTCTGTCTCTCTGTCCCGCTGCTCTCTCTGCTCTCTCTGTCTCTCTGTCCCACAGCTCTCTCTGCTCTCTCTCTCCTCTGTTCTGCTGCTCTCTCTGCTCTCTCTGTCTATCTGTCCCACAGCTCTCTCTGCTCGGTCTCTCTGTCCCGCTGCTCTCTCTGCTCTCTGTCTCTCTGTCCCACAGCTCTCTCTGCTCTGTCTCTCTGTCCCGCTGCTCTCTCTGCTCTCTGTCTCTCTGTCCCACAGCTCTCTCTGCTCTCTCTGTCTCTCTGTCCCACTGTTCTCTCTGCTCTCTGTCTCTCTGTCCCACAGCTCTCTCTGCTCTCTCTGTCTCTCTGTCCCACTGCTCTCTCTGCTCTCTGTCTCTCTGTCCCACAGCTCTCTCTGCTCTCTCTGTCTCTCTGTCCCACTGCTCTCTCTGCTCTCTGTCTCTCTCTGTCCCACAGCTCTCTCTGCTCTCTCTTTCTATCAGTCCCACTGCTCTCTCTGCTTTCTCTCTCTCTCTGTCCCGGTTTCTCTTTCAGATAAAAAAAATCTCTTGCCTGGGCCTGTGTCTCCTGAGTCATCCTGGGTAAAGAGGGTCGCAGCGAGATACTCTTTCACCGAGAATAGTTGCAGTCGTTTTCACTGAAGAGGGCTACAGGGAGGGTAACCACAGAGTGTTATACCCCTGTGTTAATTATAAAAGTCATGTTTTGGCCTCTCACTTTCATTCTGACCATGGGCTCACGGGGGCCGAGTGCAAGAGAGCCCAGTCCTTGTCTGCTCCTGCCAGGCTAATGAGCCTTTCCTCACGGGGCTCTTCCTGGCAGCAACTGGGCTTTGGGGCTTTGCCTCCTTTGGGGCATTAATCCTTCTAATGCCTTCCCCCTTTCTTTTTTCTTTTTTTTTTACAGTAAGCACACTGGTCTCTGGCTAGGGGGGCCCTGGGCTTCCCCCCTCTAGGTGGCTGCTTCTCTCTGCCTTCTTCCCATCTGTCTCTTTCAGGGCAGCTGCCAGGAGACTTGCCTTTTTCTTTATTTTTCTTTTTGGCAATTTCAGTCATCTTAGTGAAGCACTCAAGCTTTTGGAGCTTTCATCTGATGTCTGGGGCAGCTTGGGCTGCGAATGTGCTGTTTACTATCTGCTGGCTCCCTGGTGACTCAGAGTTGAAAGGGGTGTAGATGCAATAAGTTTCACACAGTCTCTCATCATAGTCTCCAGGAGACTCTTCTGGTTGTTGAGTGACTGAAAAAACTTTAGTCATGTTCATAGGCCTTTGGGACCCAGCTTTGATCTCCTGGAGGAGAGCGTCCTGATATCGGTGGATCTGGTGCTGTCCCTCAGGGGTGGTGAAGTCCCTCTTGGGGTGCTCCTTGGGAACAGCAATTTCAGCCTATGCACCCTGACCAAGGACCCCAGCTGCCTCTTCTCTTCTGTTGTGAACAGGGTACTGCTTTCAGGCCCTGCATCTCTTGCACTGGCATCTGAAGGGCACCTGCTCCCAGCTGAGGGTGCAGTCAGGCTGCTGGTCCAGGGGGAAGTGGGTTCACTGGTCTGGAGTTGGCAGGGAGGCTCATGGCGACGAGGTATCAGGGACCAGGGGCTGGGTGCTGATGGCCTTGGAGGCACATAATGCGGAGGCAATATTAGCTTTTCCTCTGGGTCACCCGTGAAAATGTGTGGAGGCTCAGGCTTCTGTTGTTTCTTTGCAGGCTTCCTTGTTGAGGTAACTAAGACCCTACCCTGTCCCTGCCTGTTGCAAGCGAATTGCACCCAAGGGGGAAGAGTCTGGGCAGTTTCTAACCAAGAGTTAAAGTGTGGGAACTGATTAGGATGACCTGGATCTCTAGGGATGACCCGCCAGGCTCAGCAGATTGTTGGGACCTCTAGGGTTCCTTCTGGAGGCCACCCTACACTAAAGGTTGGCAATACAGATTCACACACGTTTTTCAACCTGCCAGGGGTTAATTTTACTGTGTTGTTTTCTGAAAATCTTTCTGAAATTTTTGATCATAGTGTCAAGGACTGTGGGTTTACTGTGCCGTGACCCCATGACGTGTCCATGGATGGTGCCGCGACAACAGACAAGGGAGGGGTGCCTCCTCTAGAGAGGAGACCAGTCAGATGCCCGTCCATTCGCGCTCCTACGGAGACTTTGGCCAGCTTTGGCTAAGGTGCACCTTCATAAGTCTCGGCCCAGGTCAGCCGAAGCTGAATCATCGATATGCTGTGATGGCTGACCACGAAAGCAGATGAGGGCCCATGCAGATTCCGTAGCACAGGCCGTGGAATCACAGATTCAGTGCAGACTGAATGACTTCAGCTGCCCTGCACACTCACTCACACACACACACACACACACACGCACACACCCACCCAGGCAGACCAGAGTTTAAACATTCCCCCCCTGGGAATGTCTACCTGTGAGACTTCTAATAAGTCTCCCGGGAGGTGGTCAGGCTCCCCTTCCATCCCAATGGGTGGGACTGGCTGGGTCAGGGGCCCCAGGGCCTTACCGGATTCAGTGTCAGAACCAGGTCCTCACATGCCAAGCCTCCTTGAGTCCAGCAGGAACAGCAGAGCGGGGCTGGCCCAGGGTGACCAGGTGGCAGGCAGGGCGCGCCTTCTCTGTTGAGATCTCCTGTTCCATCACCACCCTGCCATTGCCCCAAACCGGTGGCAACAAAGGGCCAGTGCGGTTGGGTTTCCCGGTCAGGGAACCAAATGTTACGGAAAATACTGAAAAAAAACCTGGACTGGATCACCGACGGAAAAACCAAGCGGCACTCGGAGGTCTTGTAGTGTTGAGGCTTTATTTCATACCGGCGGGCTCAGAGGGGAGTAATCTCCCAAAAAGTCTGAGCCCCGAACAAAGGAAAAAGGAGCAATTTATACCTTTCTGCTTCCTTATCTGTAACATTCCTACGTACACAGCAAGCGAGCAGGCAAGGGGGAAGGAGTTCAGGGAGCGAACCTTGGGACCTGGTGCTCGGCAGCAGGGGGAAACCAAGGGAGAGTTCTTTTTTTTGTTTGGATTGAGGAGGGGGCGAGGCAAAGAGGAGCCACCTTGTAAATTACTGTCCTTGTAGTGTTGTTTATGTTGAGGAGGGAGGGGTGTGAGACAGAGTGGAGCCACCCACTAGGTTGCTGTCCTTGTAAATTTTCCCTATCACTATCAGTTATCTATAGTTTACAAAGGTGTAAAATAGCCCAAAAGCAGAAATGACTGAGCTGCATAGGATCAGATAATTCCCAGAGGCTCCAGCATTCCACTGAAAGGATATTCATTAATCTCTTTTGCTTCTGCCAAAGTCTGAAATTTTCCCTAGCATGCTTGCTCTATAATTAGCTCATGCTTCCTCTAATATTCATCTATCAGTTGATTGGCTATATTCTCTGCTTTACGTGCCATATCTGATCCCAAATGTCCTTTCCCTTGTCCCCATCTCTTCGTGATCTCCCATCATGGCAGAGTTATCTAAGATACCAAAATGTCTAAATTGGCATCCAGCTCTGAGTACAGAGTGCTCAAGTTTGGATTGCTTTTGCTTAACATCTTGTCTTTCTCTTTTTTAGATGGTATTTTTAAATTTTTTAATTTAATGTTGTTAAGTGATGACCAAGGTTTCTGTTAAATTGGGAATTAATCAGCGTAGCTATAATTTTCACTACCTAGCAGTCTAACTAGGTTTTCATCTGTAAGTTAAAGGCGAAGGTTAATGAATTTGCATCAGCCCAGGGCTTCTCAACCTGGAAGGCTTTGCCTCCCAAGGAAGGTGCTGCTGGCATCTAGTGGGTAGAGGCCAGAAATGTTGCTAAACCAGTAAAAGGGACAAGACAACTCCCCACAACAAAATTATCCAGTCCTTAATGTTAATAATGCCAAAGTTGAGAAGCCCGGATAGCCCATTGAAAAATGTTAGAGGAGAGGTGAAATTTCTGCTGTGATAAAATTAAAAATAATTTTATGATCTTAAATAGATATGGAAAGCATATATTTTTGGTCTTAAAATAATACTCTTCTTACCAATTTTCCATTTTAGAAATGAAGCAATCAGTATTACCTTTAATTTGAGAGACTAAATGGTTAAGTGGAAACAGATACCTTTCCCTTGAAATATGATATATATATAACACGTAATTTAAAAATTTTCCCTATTTTAGGTTTTACTGAAGAAACATTTAAGAGATTGATCACATTTTGACATATTTAAAATTTGGAATTGTCAACCTTTTTATACGACATATTTTGGCAGTAAACATGAAAGCTTTCTTTGAAGTTTTAGAACAATTATACAAGAAGGTCCTTCTTGGATCCGCGCTTGAACATGACAGCTATGATTACATCTCTTATCTCAACCCAGCATTTTTGGATCAAGATTGTTCTACAAGCACCTGCTCAGAATGCTCAAACCCCCACGGAGTCCAAGACAAGCATCAGCCGTCCTCTGTCAATCTGTCTACCGTTTCTGTAGCCCCTGTGTGCCTGAAGAGACACTGTCAGATAAGCAATGCCCGAGAAATAATGCTCCTCCAGCTCACAGTGATCAGAGTGATGATAACCCGAATATTGTCTGTCGAAACTGAGCTCCGTGCAAAGGACAAGTACAGAGATATAATCACAATTCTTTTAAAATCGTCTAACATCGATTCTAAATTAGTAAGCATTTGTTGTTTGTGGGTCTTTTTTTTTTTTTTAAAGATCTAGATTTTTAAAATAAATGTTCTAAAAAATCATTCAGCAACAGTGGGTAAATTTTTTGTTTTCCCATAGACCTGTATGTTCCAAAACTCAGATAAATTGTTATCTCACCTGGCTGCCAAGTGCCTTGCACTACTTCTGTATTTCCAATTGAGAGAAAAGGTAAGATAAGTTATCAAATTATGTTATTATTTCTTCTATAGTTTCTTTAAAATTGGTCTTTTACCCTTTAGATATTTGTTTCAATAGAATGTTTGTTTACATAATAATGTGTGCAAATCCACAGAGGTGTAAGAATGGAGTAATATGATGGTGACTTGTATCAAGGATTAAAGTCTTAAATTTCTTGTAAATTATTACAAGTCAGATTCTTAACCTGAAGGATGGGTTTCAAATCAGTGAGTCCATAACTTTCTTCAAAGGAGTAGGTAGGCCTCCTTCCTCTTCTCAAAAAAAATGGTTTAAGAACTAAGAACGGTCTTTGGCATATTGAAAAAAATACAAATTGAGCATCAGGTTTTCTCTCATGTCTGAATTAGTTAACAAAAAAAATTAAGCCTATACTGGCTTATTACAGCTATTATTGCTTTTTCCTTTCTTAAAATGATATTTTTTTAAGTGCAAAAAGGTGGTAGTTACAGTAGAAATTTTAGAACATGAGAATAAGTATAAAGAACAAAATCGAAGTTACGTATCATTCCACCACCTGGAATAGCCACAGCCAGTATTTTGCTGTTCCCTTTGGATCCTTTATTTCTATGGCATACTGAACTTCTTGATTTAAAGATTAGGATTTGTGTCCTTGTTTTACCAAACATCATCATACTTTTTTTGGCAAGGGAGTAAACTGTGTATAGAGTTGTGTTGTGTACAGTAGGTAATTTATAATTGCAAAGGAAATATTGTATGACAACTTCTTTTTTTTTTCCTCCTATCTTGTAGATAACATTAAGTAATTCCTGGATTGCTTTTTGCCAAAAAAATCTTTCTGAATACTCTAAAAGTGATGAAGTAGTATACTGCCTCTGGACTCTGACTTTTGTAATAAAAGAAATCTTCAAAGATACATGTTCACAAAAAGCAGGTATAAATTACATTCCCCCATAAACAATCATTATCTAGTTCCCAGGGAGCATTATATTTATAATGAAAGTAAAACTTTTTTTTACAACATCTGATTTGTCTTGAAGTATGAAAAACTGAAGACTCCCCATATTTTTTGTCTGAGGATGGTTTTTTAAAATGAAAACTTAAAAGGCAAAAATAAAGCTTTTCATTATTATATATATCCCTTGCATAGTCTGATGCTGTTGGTATTTGTAAAAAAGATATTGACTGTGATTGTTAACTGTTAGTCTGTGTATCTTCATTTGTTCACATCAGAGGTAATCCATTTTTTCATCTTGTAAAGTGATAATATTTATAAAAATTGAGTTCTAAGTTTTAAGAAGCCTTTGTTTTTCTTGTTTATAATTACTGTTTTTGTAATTGCAGAAATTCTAAAGCAGTTCCTGACTCCTTTTGACACTATTTTTGAAGGTTTTTACAATTCCTTATTTTCAGAGTATTTCAAAAACTGCCAAAATACTTCTAAAGTAACAAACAGCTTGATATGTTTCCTGGAATTGCTTGAACTTCTTGTAGCTTCCAGAATCCACCTGAAGTTACATTTCACTTGCCAGAGGATTTTATTTTTGAAACCTTCTTGTGTGCTAGACGTTATTACATGGCCTGTTCAGACTTTTGTCAAAAGGAAGTTCATCATATTCATCAAAAAGTGCCTTCTCTGCAAAGTGGGTGAAGACCTGTGCCCAGGGTCTGTCCCTGCACCAGTGCCACCCAGTGGCCACTTAGATTCGGAATGTGTGGCCTTGGCTGATGCTGTGCTACAGGCTGTGGGTTCCGGCTTACTGAGGACCTTGTCTGTCCATGCAAACCCTGCCTGCTTTGCAGGTGGTGAGGTTAGCCCTGGGCGGGCACACGGTCCCCGTCCAGATCACGTGATCCTTAGAGCAGCCAGCTTGCTTATCATTAAATCCTTGGAAATCAAATTTCAAAACTGTGCTTCAGCAAACGAAATGAAAGGTAATTCTTCTAACGCCTCTTGTATGCAGAGTAATGGGTAATTATTGACTAAAATAAAGTAATTCATACTTACCAAATCTCAGTACTGTAATTCCACTAATTTATGCCACTTGTTTTCATAACTTATTAGATTTTCCTTAAAAAAACCACTAGAATTACCGTAAGAAACTTGTCAACTTGTTGTGGGTTAAACTGAATGGGTGTTGAATCATTAATGGCCAAGGTCAAAAAGGAAAGTACAATTGAATAACCTCAAAGTGATAGAAGCCAATTCATGTTCAGATTTTGTAGTATTTTATTCATCTTTTCCTTCATAGAATTGGTGTATCTACCAATGTAGATTGTTGATAATTAGGAATTGAATTGAAACTAATATGTGAGGAGTTATATTGATGTAGAAATCGTTGCATGCAATTTTCAGGATGTTAGCTTAGAGTCCAAGACAGATATTTAAAGTATGATACTCAGTTTAGGTGTTGGGGAAGACATGTTCCACGTTTCATTTGAGAAAAACGAGTAGTAAATGATCTCTAAACAAGCAGCATATAGTTTCAGTGAAAGGTTTAAAGTGTAAGCAGTGACTTTCTCAATCGCTTTGGATATCATTTAACTTGCAGTAACTACATTAGGTATAATTTTGTGCAATTAAAATTTACAACACTAGGTGGCATATGTTATGTAATTCAGAGTTTTAAATTGCCATTAAGACTCTCCAAAATCTTTTTGATGTTGGGCTTAATAGTAGTACTTTCTTTTAATACTTTAAACAAACAAAATTTTTGTTAGTTTGAGAGGCAAGATAATTTTTGTTTGGTTGTATTATCACCTCTAGTAACAGCTGTGGCATCCAGTGAAGTGATTTCTGTTGTCTACCACTCATTCATTTATGTGCTTTAAGCAAGAATCATGTAACTTTTACCTCAGAGATAGTTATTTGACAGTTCTATCAAATAGACGAGCTGGCCTTATATTTTAACTGATACAAGAAAATATGACCCTAAATACCCCAAGTACTCTTGAGTGAGTCACTTTTTTCTCTGAGGCTCAATTTCCTGATTTGCAAATATTAGATAATCCCTAGTTCATAGACTTCTTGAAAATGTGAATCGTGTTAATGCATCTTAAAGTACTTTAGATACTATATTTTTATATATAGTCAATGCATTCATGAAGTATTGCCTACACTTTGAAATTTGCATTTTTTGAAGTTGATTTACAGAGGTTCCTATCTGAGTTACTGACCTTCTTAAAGCCTCATCTTCAGCCCTCTCTGCAGTCACACAATCCATGTGAGTGGCTGTCTAGCATCTTCATAGAACAAGACGATGACATGGTGGAGGCTGCCAGAGCATCATTGGGCATCTATTTACAGTTGATCAGGTTCGTGTATTTTAAAGTAATTGTACAAACTGCAAGCCAGGAAAGCAGAAAACATTTTTAATAATGTACTGGATATATTATTTACTTTCCATCATTAGGGGAAAATATCCCTAACAATCTTGTGGTTTCCTTGTAAGTTCCAATTTCATTCTTTAACCCTGCCCTGCATGAAAATGAGATTACATTTGGGTTCTCATTATGAAAACTTGGCTGGCTAGGCCGATCTAAGGGTAGTAGAACTACCCTCGGATTAGAAAATAGGGATTCTGCTTTAGTCTTCATCTGTTTTACCTGTATGATCAGGGGTAAGTTAGTACCCTTGTCTGAATCCTAATATAATTGATGTTTAAGAGCTCTTTTCGCATCTATGACTAACTTTTGTATATTGCCCTTCTGTAAGGTGATTTTTGCGTTTTAAAGATGGGTTCAACCTTGTATGTAATCACAGGGACTGTTCTGAATTTTCATTTTATTATACAGTTGAATGAGGACCGATACCATCTCAAGGCAAATATATAAACTTGGTTATGAAGTTCTGTTACTGGTGACCTTCTCCACTTATCCTATTTCTGCTGCATTAAAACAGCTGTACCTGAGTTCCTATCTTCTTGTGCAAATATCTGTAATTGATTATGAAGCTAATAACTGCTGACCTTTTACACTCTTTCTGCTTCTGCTTTATTAAAGCCCTAAAGTATTTGCTTTACTTCCATTTCTTTCTTGGCTTCAGAGAAAGGGATTTCTTACTAATGATGGTCGGTACAGTGTTGTGCTGCCAGCTCTTGCGTGTGTTATGACACTGCTGGCAGTGGCTGCTTTCAGACTGTAAGTGTTTGGGGCCAATTTTCAAAAGGTTCTAATCAAGAACACAGAATTCCTGCATGTGATTTGAATTAGGCTCCAAAATTGTCAGATACAAATTCAGTCTGAAAACAGGCATGCCTATTAGAATATATCTTACTTTTACTCAAAGTTGACTTCTGACTCCTTGGAAAAGAGGAAGAAAGCCTTTGAATTATATTGACTTTACATATGAATTTCGAGATTCCTTAGTGTGTGCAGAAAGGTATGCACTCCTGTCATATGTATTTTTTAATGCAATTTTATTAATGAAGATTATTTGGTTGTAAATTATAGAAATCAACACAAACTAGTCTCATGGGGAAAAAAGGAATTAGCTCGTAATTGGGAATTCCAAGGGGACAAGTTGACATTAGGCACAACTGTATATACAGGCATTCAAATCATATTATTGATTTTTTTAAAAATTTTCTCTATCTCAGCTCTGAATTCATTCTCGGACAGGGCCAGGCTTACAGATCCTTGCAGTTATAATCTTTAATAGCTCTAGCAAAAGCTCCAGGAGAGATCTGAATAGACATTTTGGGTCATAGGTCCTGTTGCAACAATCATGTGGCCTGGAGGTGCTCTAGGTGGGTCCGTCTGGGTCACATGCCCACTCCTGTTTAGGAAAGAAAGGACGTTAGTCTCCAGCCCCACCTTAGCAAATGGAATGAATTAGTTACCTGTGAAAATGAGAAACTCTTGATATCAAGAGATGGGGTGATAAAGGACTTCTATTGGGCAGACAAAAATTGGAACTACCAAAGTCAGTGGATTTTCTTTATTGAATTAGATTTAAATAGAGTTTATGTAAAAGGAGATTATTTGAAATTTTTTTCTTTTAAAATAATACCCAGATTAAAAAGTAATCTAATAGGTGAATTTATGGTATGTGAACTGTATTTGTCAAATGGTTATTTTTGTAGAGCCATTAATCTGGGGTCTCCATTATCTGTATTTTCAGAGAATGTGAAACTACTGAAGATTTGACCCAAGAAAAAGAAATGTGGAACCATCACACACATGAAAATGGCTATAATCCACACTGTATTTTCTTATTCTTATTGAAAAATATTGGGTTTGATTCTTCAGTTCTTCTTGACTTTTTGATTTCATCAGAAACCTGTTTTCTTGAATATTTTGTTAGATATTTAAAATTATTGCAAAAAGACTGGGATAACTTTTTCACGATTTGCAAGTACTTTGATGTAACTGAATCTAAAGATAGCATAAATATTTGTGGTTGTATCTCTTCACCCAACCGGGACAGAAGAATGAGCCAAAGAGAGCTTAGTCCTTTGGCTGCTCTTGGTGGTCACCGAAGTTCTCATGTCTGGCATTCCCATGTTTCTTCTGAATCCCTGAACCAGGTCATGATGTCCAAGGAAACCCACAGCATACTCCAGGCGAATAGTCCATCTGCTCCCCAAGCTTCTCAGAGTCTGGTAGATTATGACAGCTCTGATGATTCTGAAGTAGAATGCACAGACCAGCATTTAGCAAACAGTAAACAGACATCTTTACACCAAGAAACAAAGAAGAAATTTCAGGACACAGTTGCAGTAAGTAAGGATAAAAAAGAACTTAGCTTGGAGTCTCAGTCAAGGTCTCTGGTTCCAAAAGAAACTAATACTCCCCTGTCTGTTGATTGTGACATAGCCCCAAATAATAGGGTCTATGAAATGGGAATATCTTATAGAACAATCAAATGCTTAGAAGAGCTACAAGGTGCCATTTACCGTTTGCAGAAGAAAAATCTTTTCCCCTATAATCCAACAGCGCTTTTGAAGTTGTTAAAACATATTGAGGCAATCTATAATGAAAATGTGAACCCTTGGTTAAATAGTGGCATTTTATTTCCAGGAACTCTTTTTCCCTGATAGAAATTGTGTCTTAATGAGATAATAGTAAAAAAAAAAAAAGGTCCTCAAAAGGGTTTTCTAAATCAAGGCTTTTTGCCTTTTGGAAGAAAATTAATTTTTTCATAGTTCTGGAGGCGAGAAATCCAAAAGCATGGTGTCAACAGAGCTATGCATTCAAGGCTCTTGTATTTCTCTCAGGAATCCTTTCCCACCTCTTCCTTCCTAGCTCCTGGTGTTTGCTGGCAGAGCTTGGTATTCCTTGACTCATAGCTGCATTACTCCAATCTCTTCCTCCACTGTTTTCATGACATTTTCCCACGTGTGTGTCCATATCAAGTTTCCCCCTTCTGAGGACACCAGTCACTGGGCTAGAGTCTACTGTCATCCAGTGTGACTTGATCTTAACTTGTTTACATCGGCAAGGACCCTATGTCCAAATAAGGTTGTATTCATAGGTTCTAAGGACGCAGATTCTGGGGGAACACTGTTGTTTAACCCAGTACAGTTACTCTTTTCCCCTGAGGTATTTATGTGTAATGTGATAATGTAAAAAACTTAAAATCATAGCTTTATTTTTCAAGAGAGGTAATTAGCTCTATGCGTATGTATGTATACAGTCTGTTCAATGACCATAAGTCTATTCTTTAAAAAAGAATATGATTTTAATCACTAGGTAATATCCCTATTTAAAATTGTGATATGAATAATTATATTCTGTCTTCTTGAGGAGAGGCAGTAAATTCAAGTTTTCATGTGCATTTTGGATTTGTGCAGTAAGAGCAGCAACTGTATTGTGCTGGTGAGTCTGTCATTAACACAATCTGAAGTGTTGTCCTTAATATATTTTTTAAGTGGAGGACTGAACCTACCAGATGTTAAAATATATATTAAGGCTATGATAATCAAAGCAGGTTAGTATTCATTGAAGTAGAAATGGCAAGACCCCTGGAAACTTTTAATAGAGGATTGCTAATTAAAATAACAAAGACGCTAACCAAATAGAAATGCAGGGTTCAAAAAGTTTGGTAACAGAACCTCGGGTATCCATTGGGGCAGCTTCTACATCATTTAAAAGGCACAACAAAGAATATATATTCAAGCATGTCTAATGCATGTTGTTTGTAAAAGCCAAAGAAGTATGTGGTGGAATAAGTGCATATACTTAGTGAAATACTGTATACTTGTAGGAAGAATGAGCTGTATTCACATTTAGAGATATGAAATCAGTAAAAAACAAAAGTGAACATATGGGGCTACCATTTACTTAAGAAAGGAGGAATAATGCCTCTATATATTTCTATATGCTTTTGTGTAATTATAAAATGTTTATGTAAGCATGTATAAGAAAGTCAATCCTGGTTGCTTTGGGAAACAGATCTGAAGTCGAAAACTAGACTTCTCACGATGTATCTTTTTTTACTCTTATTTACGTGTATTTAACTGGGTGCCTACATTTTTTTAGTGCAACTAATTTTTAAGACAATTGACAAAACAAAACAAGCCTGATTCTTTAGTTTCCTAAGGGTACAGAAATGTTGAATGCATTAAAAGTCATGCTAATACAGATGTGTTTTTGACCCGTGTTTCTCTAGAAGATTAATAAGGACCCGTTAGCCCCTTGTTTTATTTAAAATGAGGAAAAGGCAATCTTATATGTATGCTGAGTGTTAGTATTTCAGAGTTTGTACATATTTACTTGATGCTTGGGTGTAAGTCAGTTCACTCATGAAGCCCTACCAGTGGGGAAGGGGACTGATGTTGACTGTACAGTAACAGTCCTTGGCCATTCAGAGTATCCAAGAGCTGTTCCGAGTTAGTTCATAAAGGAACACAAAGTTAGCAATATTTGCAGGATGAGTTCCCAGTCTGCATATGTACGTCCAAGTGAGCACAAAGTCTCTTAAATCTAATTTCTTGTTTTAACTTAAAATATAAGACACAACAAAGTAAACATGTAAGTATACAACCTGATGAATTTTCATAAACATTCCTGTGGAACCAGTGACCAGGTCAAGAAACATTTCTGGCACCTGAAAATCCCCCATGGATCTCCTTCCAGTCACTATCTACCCATGAAAGTAACTCTATCCTGAACTGAGACAACATTAATTTTGCCTGGTTTCGTCTTTTATGTAATAAAGTTACAGAATATGTGTTCTTTTGTATCTGGCTGCTTCAGCATTATTTGGGAAAATATTTTTCTTAGGAATTGTCAAGGACACGCATTTCAGCTGCAATTAGGAACAAAATACTTAAACTCCTGGAAATTATCTGTGGCACAGTGTGCTAGGATGGTGCAATTGACAAACACTGTTTGGAACAAAATACAGATGCAAACAGGTTCTGCAGGGCCTTGTGCAATTGGCCCCAACCTGTTTCTCTAGACTCACCTGTGGTTCTCCCTGCCACCCACTGTCTTAGCAGCACAACCCTCTGTGTATTCACTCATCAAGTCATATCTTAACTGTTGGATCTGTGAAGACTTCCTCATCTGTTCTGAACCGGTAGATTTTACAAGCTTTGCATATTCTTCACTGTGCTCTTTATTGTAGCATTTGTCACATTTTAATCACTAGTCGACAGTCTCCATTTGCCAGGTTCTTTCACCCTATCCTTAGTGATTAGCATCATACCTAACCCATTAAAAGCACAACACAAATGTTGACTAAATGAGAGAGATCCCTCTCCAAGGACTTGATAATTTCCTGGGGTAGACAGGTATCCAGAAACTGATCTTTAATACATCACACTTATATGCCAACCACTGTTCTAAGTGCTCTACTAATTCTCATTATAATGTTGGAAGGCAGGTACTATTATGATGCCTGTTTTGCAAACTAGGAGATAAGTAATTTGCCCAAGCTCACCTAACTGGTAAAGTGGCAGAGCTAAAGGTAATGGATCCAGGCAGTCTGGTTCCAATGTCCTATCATAGTCTCTTCTCTAATAAAAGAAGTCATGCTAGAAAGGTATATTGAGGTCAGATCATGTAAGACCTTGGATGCCATGCTAAGGAGTTTTGACTTCTGTAGGCAATTGAGAGCCAATGAGGTCATTGAGTAAATGATTGGTTTTATGTTTGAAGAAAGTGATTTCAGTAACAATAAAGTGGCCTGGCAGATAACAGAAAGATTGGAATGAGTCCTGCAGAAGTCCTGTTGGAGTCAGGGGCAATGGAAATGAAAAGGGGGAGCAAGACCTTCCAACTGAATGCACATCAGGCTGTCTTCCTTCAGAGACCCAGTACAAGAGTAAAGGGACCAAAATCAAGAGCAATGAGACACCCAAGGACCAACAGCAGACCTAGGAAAACCAAATCCCTAGCTGCAATGGGAGCTGAGAAGCAGCCTGATTACCAGGCTGATCCCCCTGAAGTCTCAGGAGTATCAAGTACCATACTGTGTACCAAAGGGATGGTTGATTGAAGACTTAGATGAGAAATAATTACCTCTAAGTTCTCTGCCCCAATACATGTAGCTATACCACCTGTGGTTCTCCCTCACTGCTCTCTCCCAGACACAGGTAAAATATTTCCCAAAAAGAGTAAAACAGAGGGTCTTTGGACTGGGGAGCATCAAGAAGAGCCAAGGATAGGCACACCACTTTGAAAATGGGAATTAATTAGAAACACACTTGATGTGGAGAACCACCACCATCGCCATCCTTCTCCCCAAATGATTGGAGAGACATTTCTGGGGAATCTACTCAGTCCAAGGAAAAAGATCTAAAGACACACTGGAGGTTCCCCAGAGAAATTACTTGGCCAGGTCACCCTCCCATGAAGCCCGTGGTCATGCCTTTCACTGGTGTGCAGAGAGAGCTTCTAATAATCATTTAAGTGCCCAGTTCCTGCAAGGGACAAACACCCAAGGATCATCAGACATTTGGGGAAAGTGTCCAAAGTAAAAGACAGAGACCAAAACCAACAAGGTAGAGAAAGCAAGCAGGAAATTAATCTATTAATATCCTCAGAGATAAGTGGCAATGCTATAAAGGATATTACATAGAGTATTCAATAAGGAGAAAAAACCTTAAACATGAATAATATAGTAGCAAAAATGAAAAAAAATATGCAAAATTAAGTTGAGAAATCTAGAAAATAGAGAAACTGGAAGAAGAAATTGGAAAATAGAGCAAAATAGGAAATTTGAGGGACCAGCCATAAGGCTCAATGACTTGAAGTTCCACACAGAAAAGGTGAAATGGAGAAGAGAAAGGACTATAGAAATTTGAAAAAAATTTCCAGAATGAGAGACTTTGAATCTTTTAAACAATGGTGCCATCATCAGCACAGACTGATAGAAATCCTCTGTCAAAAATTAGAATTAGGGCAAACATAGGAACCAGTGGAAAGTCACGGGGGAAGGTGTGATTGCCCTGAGCCTGGAGAGAGGCAGGGGAAAAAGGCCTGGAAAGAAGAAGGGAAATAAATCACAGAGACAGGAGAACAGGAAATAACCACACAGAAACTAAGAGATGTGAGGGCTTTGAGAAGGAAAATGTACCCAGCTTTTGCCATCTCTGAAAAGAAGCCACTGGGTGTTTTGACCACGAGGGGCTGTTGGTGACCTCCGAGAAAGCAATTTTAGTTGAACCCGAATGTGCACGGGAGAAAAGCCACAACGACAGTGGATTTCAGCTCCATTTGTGTTCTGTGCCACCTGAACGCGGGGATTTTTTTGTGCCATCTTTGAACCAACAGAAAGGCTGAAAACCACAGCTTCCAAGTCCGCACCAACTTGCACGCGGTCACCGCAGGCAATGTTCAGGTCGCCAGGGACCTCCTTAGGCTCTGAACTAACTTGCTGCTGCTCCTCCCACGTCTCTGGAAGCATGCTCCCCGCCCCACCCAACACCCCACTGGAGCTTCATTCACAGACTTGGAATGCCCAGGTATGTGGAAACTTGACCTACATATTGACAGTATGTAAAGTTTATCGCAGCAAGTCGGCCCATTTTATTAAAATGTCCATTGGACAAGTGCCATGGATAAAATGCCTTTTCTGACTATTATCCTAGATCTGACCGACGAACCAATTCTTAGTTTTTCTGGTTATTCTAAGGAAGGTGGACCTGAACAAAGCAAATCAAAGCCTTTCCTTTGAATTCCCCTCCTAATTACAAAGCTCATTAGTATACTTGTTAAGATGTAGGAAAAACAACGATTCCTTTCTGTATTTGCCGTTGACATTGAGCTTTATCCAGTTGTTTGACTAAACTACAATAGTTACTTAACTGCAGGGGGTAAAATACATGACTGTGTATACCTTGGACTGCTTGCATTTTTCTTTTTGAGTCTTTTACTTTGTTTTCAAATAAAGTACAGTTTTCTGCTATTTAGAACTGAGCAATGAAATATGATCAGGGTACAAGTTCCTTTCCAGTGAAAAAGATTTAGGTGTTTTTAGGTTGTTTTGAGACAAGAGTCCACCTAATCAAAGTCACAGACTTTAAAACTTGGGTTTACATTACAAATAGTTTCTAGGGGTGGTGCTTGGAATTGTCTATGGCGTCATGACAGCACGTGTGTTTTTTAAGTGCTTTAAGGCCTCTTGTCAGACACATTTCTCCTTTGAGTCCCATGAAAAGAATTTCCAGTAGCAAATTTATGATTTGCTTATGCTGTTGCTTTTTAAATTGTTCAATAAATCATAATAAGTAGAGGTAGGTTTCTCCACAGCTAAACCTTTTTTTATTTGTTAAAAAGAAAAGAATATATTTTTCATCTCTAAATTGTTGGGTTTTTTTGTTCATTTCTGTTAAAAAACAGTGAACGAGAGTAGTAAGCCTACTAGTTTAAAATAGAATTGTCTTTTTTTTCTGGTTTTACTATTTTTTCCTACAATAAAGAGAAAATATTTCCCTTACTCACTGGATTCTTGACAAGTAAGCCATTTTTTTGGTGTTATATAGCATTCTTTGCTTGAATATGGCATATGCCTTCTTAATTGTGTGTCTTTTTTAATGTGTATAATGATGGATTTGATGACTGTGTGGAAGGGAAGATAAATGGTAACTGGAAAATAAAAATAATTGGCAACAGCTTTTCCACTATATGGGTGAGTTTTCTTACAAACTAATAATGGAATCAGAGTAACATTTGGGAATAATCACAAATAACCTAATTTTCTAGAAGGTCTATAAGGACAAAAGAACATGTCAACATACCTTCAATGGGGATTTAGACCTGGATCTTGAATGGTACTCTGTACTTCCTAGATAGGCATGGAGAGAAAAGAAGCCATTGGGATTTTATCAGAAGCATATCTTTTAACGGCACTGTAAAAAGTAAACAGTACTGCTATTTTGCTCTTTAATAGTCTTTATGCAGGATGGCAAAGGCCCATCTCCAGCTAAATGTGTCAGTCCAGTTGTTACAGGTCAGTGGTGATATACCCACCACGGAAAGCTGGACTCAAACACAGCAGCATGTCCTTTGGAATAGTGATGTGTAGAACAGATGATGTGGGACTCTTAGTCAGTCTCTATTGTCCACCCTGGCTGTGCTTCTTTAGTTGTGAAAAAACGCACTGTAGTATCTAAAGAGAAGTGCTTTGGGACTATCAAAGGCCAGGGTTTGAATTTCCCCAACTAAATTATGTGACTTCTAATCTAAACCTTCTGGAATGATTTCTTTGGTCTGATCATTTTTAAGCAGCTAATAATAAAAAAGTGGACTTTATATTATAAACACAATTGAAAAGTTTGTATTTATGTCTCATAGCTGTTTGGAAAACATACCCACTTTTTAAACTATACAAATCATTACCTTTTTATGCTTTCAAAAAAGCATAAAAATTGAAAATTCCTTTTTCTAGTCATCAGAGTCAAGAATGAAGCCATAAGCACAGACTCCATTATACGCAGAATTTAGTTCACTTTCACTTTCCTGCCCCCTCCAGGTTTCTGGCCATTGTTAATTTCATCTGGACCATTAAACCATATTGCTATTCCCAATAAATGTGTACATTGTGTCTTCTCCAAATTTTACTTTCACCTTTTGCATTCTATTTTATCATTACAATTATGTTTATCACTTAGTCTTAACTCTGTTTCATGATGTGTTCAATGAGCTAATCTTAATTTTGGTTCCTCTTGGGTAATGATTGGCTGGTGTATGCCTCTCGGCAACTTTCCTAGGAACAGGAGGATAGTTTTTGAGACCTTGTATATCAAGAGTGAGTCTTTCAGTTGACATTCCTTTTGTTGTACTAAAAGACAACTTGTCTAGGAAAAGTTTTTGTGTTACAACTTGTCTTAAACCATTGTCATTTCACTCCATTTTTTCCTATCCTTAGCTGTTTTGCAGAAGAAATCTGAGACCATCCTCATTTGATTATTTCTTGGTTAACTGATTTTCTCATGGATGCATCCAAAATAATTTCTTGTCCTTGAAATTCAAAGGTTTCCTGAGGTTCCATCTAGATCTGGTTCTCTTGCATATTCTTGCCTTGAACATAATAAGTCTTTTATACCATCCCAGATATTTTTTAAGTCGTCATTTGTAAGTTGAGTTTCTGCTTTCTAATCTCCATGCTTACCTTCCTTTCTTAGCACTTTAACCTTTGTTATTCTGTGCGTTTGGGAGAATATGTGAATTCTTTAGTTCTTCATACCCGATTTGATTTTCTCCAATGTCAGTTCACCTCACCGTCACCTCCAAAGAAGACGTTAAATCTATAATTCTTTCTTGCACTTTCTTGCAACCTCCTTTTCATCTGTTTCTTTATAGTACCTGTATCCCAACTCCTTGTCCTTATGTCTGACCCTGTATTCTCCTTGGTATCTTTCTGTTTTTACTTCAAGGAAAAGTGACCAAGACTTAAGACTTAATAAGACTTCATAATTAAGTTGCTTATTATTAAGAACATAATTTCCTAAAATTTTTTGTGCACTCAAATAGTAAAAATAGCTATCATTTTCTAAGTGCTTTTTTATTAACAGATATTATTCTAAATACTTTCTAGACATTATCTCAATACTCAGGACACCCTGCAAGGAGTCATTATTATTCTCATTTTACTCATGAGGAAATTAGCATTTTAAAAGGCTATAAAGAACACTAAAAACCCATCATCACACATTCCAAAGTTAGTAAATTGAAGAGTTAGAGTTTAAACCCAGCCCTGGCTCCAAAGCCTGTTTTCCTAACTACTGCACTATACTATCTCCTCTGTAAGTGATTTTCATAGGTTTATATTTTAACCAAATATTCAGAGAAACGCTGCTCTTTGCTGGAGATGTTTCTCACTGCCCCATTTTATCGGTTTCCTATTAATCTATTTCTGTCAATTCAACGTTATAATGAGAGATCCCTGCAGACATGGGCTTATGGATTATTCTGGAACAGCCTCCCCGGACAGGTTGTGTAGTGGAACAGCAAGGGCGTACCCGCTCCTGTGCTGTGTACTAGCTGGTTAGCTTGACGAGTTACTGAAAGACCCCTGTGCCTGTGTAACAAGATCACTGTGCCCGTGAGCAGTGTGGCCCAGATAAAGTACCTGCCGTGAAGGGCACTTTAAGGGAAGCTGTTGTCCTTACAGTGCGTCGCGGTGGCCTGTCGGGGCTCCCTCTCAGCCCCACCTGGGCGTCCTGCGCCGCCCCCGGGCCTCGAGGGGCCCCGGTCCCAGGATGCACCGCTGCGCTGACTGCCTGGCGGTGGCGTGGGGGACTGAAGCCTCGGCCTCAGGACAAGGCAGGAGAAAGGTGCAGGCGCGATGCGGCTCAGGGGCCCTGCGGCCACGGGTGCACTGGGCGGGGGCCCCACCTCGGAGCCAGCCGCGGGGCTGCGCAGGCTGAGCCGGCCAGGCCCGCAGGCCGAGGCCGTGTCCCGGCCGCACCGCCTCCCCTCCTGCCGGAGCCCCTGCGCCCGCGGCCTGGCGGAGTCCGTTAGGCACGTCGCAGGGCCACAGTGCCGAGAGGCTGTCCGCCTTTGCCTTCGCCTTCGTGGTTTTTTGTGCATTGCGGGGTTGGCCTCATCATCTCTGAGTATTAACTCACTGGGGTGAACAGACACCTCGCCCAGATCTCTGCCCAGTCCTGCTGTCGGGGGCTCAGCAGGGAGCCCTGGAGATTGTCCCGAGTGGACCTGGAGGCCTTGACTCCACAAGCCACCACAGTCCTTTAACCCTGGGGAAGATACCTCTGTGAGTGGCTTCCGTTTTTCTCAGCTATAAGTTATAACCCTTATGTCATGACTTTAAACAAACCTTTATTTACTGTTTGTTTAATGACTTTAAATACCCCTTTCTTTACTGTAAAATTCAAATTTTATCAAGGGCCCAGTGTGTGTGTAGACCAGTATGAGGTCCGAGTGCTCGGCCCTCAAAGATGGGAAAGACAGCCACCCTCTTCCCTCTAATCACAGCTTGGAGGCCTACATCACCCTCTGAAATTGGAGGCTTACTTCAGTTTTTCCTTTAGCCCATCAGAAAATGTCTTTAAATCAACTGGAATGAGGAAAAAAATCTAAGAAGTATGTTGAGTTGTTGAAAGGGTCAAGCAATGCAGTGAGGTTGTTTTGGGCAGGGTAAATTGTGCCTCCTCATCCATTCATGGGTCAGTAAAGCCCATTTAATAGGCCCAAATCATCGTTTTTTAAAGAGCCTAGATTAGACTAGAATAGATGGTAGAGTATATCACAAATAGCATGGGTAAGCATTATTTTATGAAACTTTGGTTTCAGTTGTTTATTTGTAGATATATTTGTACTAGGTCATGATGTAAAATGTATTTATTAGATTACATTGAAAATATTAAGTTACTGGTTTATAAACATGTTACATATGTAGAAAGTACCCTTGAGGTATTAATTATCTTGATAACAATTATATATATGACCAGAACTATAGAAGAGTCAAATGGTATTTCTTCCCTAATTAACTCCATAGTTT